CCCCCCAGCCATAAAAACGTTTTCATTTGTTTCACTTTGGGCGAGCAGAAGTAGTCCTGTGACTGAACAGAAGTTATTTCTCCAGACATCAATGACTACTTATTTTTCCAGACCTGTAATCTGCAGCGCAATCAACAAACTCGAAGCTCTGAGTTGCCTGGTAAGTTTTTAGTTTCAATTTTGCGGTTGTTTGGCAGAAGATCTGCAACACTGCTAACCATGCTGGAAGGCGTCCTAAAATCCGAAACATTTATTCCTACCGCTTTCCCACATGAAACGAGACAGGACTCCAGCGCCAGCGATGAGCAGATTACAGACTTGCATCTTCAACAAAAACTGTGTTAAAGAGCTCCTCAGCAGGGTTTTAGGCCACGGCAAAACTCTGAAGGGGGAAGGCTCAGCTCCTCGCACAGAAGGGACTAACCTCGAAAGCTGCGTTTTTGATCTAGTGGAGCATCTGCGAAATATTTCCACCACACCCTTCTTTTAATGGTTTTTTATGAGAAACACAAAGGTCAGAAGACGCAGGGATACACGTGAAGAGGGGCAAAGAACATCCTACCAGAACTCACTGGAAGCGTTTTACTCGCTTCACATCTTCCTCACGTTAAAATACCTGACACGTTAAAATAAAAGCTGTCCCGAAACGAGCAAGTTTCAAAATGCCAACGAGGTAGATTGCGACACATATAAATCTTGCAAGAGTTGTTCTTAATTGCTCTTGCTATTATTTAGACCATCGCAATAAATTAAGCTTTGTCCAATCCCTTTTGGGTTTTTTTCCCTAGCCTTAAGAAATCATTAAAAACATAAACCTCAGGTTTTTAGTCAGCTAACTACGGTGCCTTAATGAACTTAACGAGGTTACGTATCACTCTTTGCGAAGCAAATACCAAAACCTGGAAATCCTAGAACTTACTGCGTTTTCCCCATGTTCCCACAGTTTAATTAAGGATCTGTAACGCATAAAACACCGACCTTCTGATGGGACAAACACGTGGCTCAACTCAAGGGTTTTTAAAACAGGTCATTCTAAGCAAATAGCTGAAGTTACTTGGGCCTTCTGCATGAAATCTATTCCAACACAGTCAGCAGACTGAGGAAAAAGTCTGGCATTTAATTCTGGAAAGAGTCATCCTACGCAGAAAAGTTCAGTTGAAGCGATGCGCAGAAAACCAGGGCCCATCCAGAAAACAGGACTGAGGCTGCAGGCTCGAGCGCGATCGTTCAGGCAAGGCTTCACGCGGCAGAAAGGAAAGGCAGATGCAAAGAGATCGACAGCGACGCCAGATGCTACCCAACCATCCGCCGCTATATTAGCATACGGTCGGGAGCGTTAAGTCAGACAAAGGCGGCAAGAAAAACCCAGAACTCAGCTTAAAAAAAAAAAAGTTTGCAGTGGGATTCACTCAAAAAACTCCTGAAATATCCACGTTCCTCCTCCACATCTAGGGAGCCAGATGTTTTTGTTTTCTTGAGCGGTGATGCCACGTTCAGCCCTGACAGAAACCGACTTTTCCATCAGCTGGAATGCGAGAGGGAGGCAAGCGTGACTCCTCGCTCTTCCAGCCGGGCAGCGGAAAGACCGAGTCCGTTCACTGCAGCGAAAGGAGACGGCTAGGCCTGCTCAGAAACAGCAGCGTGAGGGAGAAGCTTCAGGTGTGGCCCGTCAGACGCACAGAGAGCTATAAATAGAGGTGCTGTGGGTAAGAGGTTAGCCCTGGCAGAAGACAGCTTCCTCTGCCGCGCGGCAGGCTGGACTTACAGAAGCACGGCCTAAGAGCAAGACTTGAGAATTGATTCGCCTTCTGCTCGAGAGAAAAGAACGGTTTTGTTGGGGTTTTTTCAGTTTCCAAAGGCAAGCAGGAGGGCGAAACAAAAATCAGGTTGCTGTTGCTTCTTTTGGTTTTACTACGACCCGTGCGGTAATAACGGGAACGTTTAGCAGCAGCGAGACTTCTCCAATTTGCAGATGTTCTTACCTTTGCTAAGATTTCAACCGTTGTCACTAATGATAGAGCTTCCTAATTAACTCCACGTGGTGCGTGCGTCCATGTACCCGCTCCCCATGACCCAACTATTTCGCTAGGACACCTAGGGCCCAGGTTACAGCAACTCTGACTTAGTTTAAATACAGGGAGGGGTGGGTTTTTTTAGGCTGGTCCTGCTCTGTAGCAACAGAGCCGGGCTGGGGAGCGTTCTCAGGGGCCAGCCTGCACTCCCTTCCTGAAGGAAAAATGGGCAGAGGGGGTAAAAATCCTTCCGAATGGCTATCTCCTGAATGATGGGGACGGCAGGGGAACGGAGAGACGGAGGGGCTGGAGGGCCTGAGGGTCCGGCCTCGGCGGGA